AAAAAAAAAAAAAAAAATAGCCATTATACTTTCTCTTCTTTTATTTGTTTTGGATATGGTTAGGAATTTAAAAAGGAAATTTAACAGAAAGTCGACCCAATTGGTTGGTATTCACACCAATCCATCGTATGAACTTATTATTTCCTCTGTGTCAATTTAGATCACACACTTTTCTTATTAATCTGTTTAAAAAAGAATGACATATTTATACAATTGGAAATATTTCAACTGTAAACTCTTCATTTTACCTATTTTTCCTTTATGAGAAGCTTTTATAATCGCACAAATGTCAAATCACACAAAACTTTTATCCCTGCTTTTAACACCACAAGTTACAAAAGTTTTCTCTCTTTTTTTTTCCTTCAATTTCGTGCCAAGTCAAACTACCCATCTAAATTGAAGCGGACAGAGTGCTGTATCCACTTCAAAAACTGAGACATGTCTAATGTAGTCAACCTAGCTCACCCTTGTGCTCAATTGGCTAGTCTTTGTCTTACGACTTTTCCTACTTCAAGTTGCTCCTCAAGCCTTAACTGTAATATCTTGTAGCAGCATGATTTGAATTATGATCTCTTAACTATTCAGTATCATGCAAATACCAATACATTACAACTACTCACGTATAATTTTGCATGGACAAAGGATTACGGGTGGCAAAATCAGTCCAAATAAAAAAAAATGGTCGTCCAACCTGCTCAAGTCAATTCAACAAGTCCACGTAAGATCCGAGGAAGGGTTGCACCTTAAGTTGTATAATATAAGCAGTGGCGTAGCCACCTTATTCAAAGGGGTATCAACTAACACCCCTTCGTCCGAAAAATTACACTATGTGTAGTTTCATTTTTATTTTATATGTATATATTACTATTTGTTAACCCCCCCTATACTTCTTCGTGTGTTTACTTTTTTATATTTTGACACTAGCTCCTTAGTAAAAATTCTGGCTCCTGCACTGAATATAGACAACTAACTTACCGTAATACAAGTATCAATGGTTTGATTCCATGGCTCAAACTCATGACCTATATGTCACACGGAAATAATTTTATCACTGCTTTAAGATTCCCTTCATGGACCGGTTAGTGATCTGCCTATTTATTAACTCAGTCATTTTAATCGGCTTAAATTCTTCATTTGAAACAAAAAAATGAAATGAACGGAGGAGGAGGAAAGAACATTCCGCTGTCCTGTTAGTACAAGTAGACTCTCGTACACGTGCTAATGAACACTGTCGATGAATCCGAAACCTAAATAATGATTTTTGGGACTCAAAATACTTTTATACAATTAAAAAAAAAAATACCTTTCTTACTAAAATGCAGTATAAGTTTAACAGAAATTTAGCCGTTAAAAAAAGTGTAATATAATACTTCATTTTAGTAAAGCACAGTATTATACTGCATTTTCCTATTAAATTATAAAGTCTCCTTCTCCCCACGATAGAAATCTTCTGGCTTCAATTAAAAAAAAACCACCCCTTTCCGGCAGTCCCCCTCCCCCCTCCCCCATTTAAAAAAAAAATTCGATTGGGTCCCACTAGTCACACAGAAAGTGAAGAGTGTAGGTCCTGCATACAACCCAAGCCTTCGATTGTTGTGGTTTTCTTGTTTCGGGCTCAAAATTTCAAATTTTCGATATTTCTAAAAACACAAATCGAGGTATTCCGATTTAGTTTATGTCGAATCTCGTATAATTATGCATATTTGTTTTCTTGAATGTGTTTCCACGTTGATTTGTGTTTTGTTTGCGATTAAATTTGTATGTTATTTTTACCCGGATTAAATTATTAGTGTTTAAAAAAAATAGCTAAAAGTTGAGAAATAATTTTTATTGTTAATAAAAATATTCATAAATTTCTTTTACTGTTTTATATGTAATATCGTGAATGTTATGTTCATACATTTGTTGTTTTTATTTAGTTTTAGATTATTTATTTGC